ACACCAGAAACTATAGTTTAACGGCTTATTATGATGTTAGCGCTCCTCCACTGATAAACACGGCATTAGCTTTGTGGCTAATTTAGCAACGGGTGGCTGAGACGGCTGCTTTAACGTTACGTGATTTTATAGATTATTTAGAAGTGATGAACTAGGGACAAATTGGAACCAAAGTGGACCGTTCACTAACTGCCACACTGTTTCATAATAAATCTACAGTTATGTCTGTCAGCTAGCTTCCAACACCCAGCTAGCCCTCTGGTGGGCAAACTATGCAACACCCATGACATGAGTGAAGGATCTGACTTTTTGTTTGTTTTTTAATTGTCACATATCAGCCGTTATAAACGGTCAATGCCGATTAAATGCAATTGGCCGATATCAGCCGGCCGATAAATCGGTCGTACTCTAGACTCGACATGCACATCCAGCCAATGAGAGCAGGCAGCTTGCAGAGCAGGCAGCTACTTTTTCACTGCAAAAAACTTTTTACTCACCTCCAGCTCTCTCTGTAGCACAGACGATCCCTGCTACTTGCGTGTGCTAATCCATTCTTTCACCCATATTCTTTGTCTTTGTTATTCTAAAGATAGCAATTATAAACAGCTATTTCGTGTGTATTGTCGCGTCATTTCCCGTTTCACATTTCATGTATTTTCTTGACAAAACGTGGTTTGAAGACTAGACATCGGGTGACACAGCCACTGTCAGCTCGTGTAGTGTGTCACCCCCTGTCACCGATCAGTCACGTAGTGTGAACGCCACAACCACTTCAAGACTCTCATCACAAGATGTCAAGTTGTGTAGTCTCAACAGCATGGCGATCGGCCAACACTGAAGGCTGTGGTCTGCATGCACCTTTAAACACGTGCTTTGGGGAACAGCATTTACATAATAACTAAAATGTAGTTTATAAACCTGAGCAGAGCACAGGGCTATTGGCTAGTTCATTATGCAGAGGGTGTTATCTGTGTACTTTGGTGTTTAATGCGACTCAAGTCTCATAACTGCTATATGCCTGACGACTCGAGCAGTACTGAAGGTATATTAAACTCTTGACCTACTCTAGCCATAAAGAAAAAAATTCCAGAATTGGAGTTCTACTTACCCTTGAAATTCCAGGTGGTTCATGATCCAACTCTTTCCACTTAAGTGTTTATATTTTTCTGAATAAATGGAGAGAAAGAATTGTCACCCCAGATGAGAAGTATATCAGATTATGAATTTTGCACACTGTTACAACCCTCCCAGAGGGTGGGTGGGTGTGTGGGTGGGTGGGTGGGTGTGTATGTGGGTGATTCACACCTTGGATATGTAACTGCAATGTATTGCTCTTTCCATGGTTTATAGCAGTCTATCACTGCATATTATTCAGTGAAGAAGAGGTGTGTTATAAAATAAAAGTGCATGTCTCTCGTTCTCTCATTCTTTCTGCTTCTGCTCATTATCCAGACTCAGGCTGGACCTGCTCCAAGGTCAGAGTTATGAGGCAATGGCCCAGATTTTAATTTTGCCAGGGCCCCTCCTTTTCTTATCCTCTGTCAGCACTTTCACAAGTCCCCCCGCTGGCTCAAATTACAAGATTAGAAGGAAAATGTCGTGTTCTCGTGGTTGCATAGAAAGCCAGAGAGTGACTGGCTGGATTAATTTAGATTTCCAAGGTAAATTTTTCTAAACCACTATTTTTCCAGGGACAGATGGCTGAGTGTGCCTGAGCTTTTCCAGGCCATCCTGCCTCCGATTCACATCTGAGAGCTGCCCGCTCTGTCCTGTTGTTTGCTCCTGAGCAGCTACACCTGTGCAAGTGCTTTTAAGGAAAAAGCGACAGGCATTGTTGAGAGACTGAAGAATAGAGTATTACTAGATCTGCTTAGCTAGCATATCTGTATTTAGAAATTTTAATTACAGAATAATTGGAAGACCCATGCTTCAATTTCTCAGTCAAAGCTTTTATTTGATTGATAAATGAAGGTATTATGGTAGTGGCTTTTTTGTGCGCATATCAGTGTAATTGCGCTATCCCCTCATGGTTTTTCGTAAGATTGCACCCTATTCATCCAGGGAAGCCTGATCCGGGACATGCTGCTCTTCGAATGCTTTGGCCCTTCGTAGGGATGCACCGAAATGAAAATTCTTGGCTGAAGCATTTTTTCCATTTATTTTGCCTTTTTTTTACCATCGCATTAATTAAATAGTCAAAATGTGCTCCTTACTCAGTGTTTCCCACAGGATTTGGAGAGACTATGGTGGGTGGGTCCGAGGCCTCAGAGAGTCCGGTAAAGTAAATCACGTGTTCATTTACTTTTAATGGACACACGTTTTATACTTTCTGTGGATATAATCCAATTAATCTTGTTTCCATACTGTATAGACACCTTATTTTGAAAACCAGAATCTGTCACATAAATTCATCAAGTACGACCCAATTTGATAAATAATGTTGTATGTGGTTCTCGTATCGCGAAACATTACGACTTTACAGCCTCTCTTCAGGTAGGACTCTCATACTGCAACACGTATCTTTGTAAAGAGAGAAAATAACCAGATAAAGTCGCAAACCTGCCTCTCAGCTAGCACTGGTCTGTTTCAGTTACCTTAAAGGCTTGAATACGTGTGCACTCCCAAATTTAGAATAGACACACTAGAACAGGCCGATATTGAAAGCTGTTCTGTATGTAGGCTATAATACCTTTTCCTAAATGGATTATATTAATAAAATAGATTACAGTTTCACCAACTTCACCTGTAAACAATTGCACATCAATAAATATTTGCTGCAGGAAGGTGCAACTGTAAATAGATGGCTGAAAGATTCAATGTAGCATATTCACATCTAGTTTATCCCTGTACTAACACTCTTTAATAATAACCCAATGCTACGAGAAACTGTTTGTCAACCGCCATCTGGCTCTAAAACATGCCGTCTATGATAATGTTACAGTGACCTGCTGTTGAATGCATCTAATACTAAATGACTGTCTACAACGAGGACTTGCAACATTGAGATTTCATTTAACTATAAAGCACTGGATATACTTGCTTTTAACTACACGTTTGCGTACGCAAGATGGCTCCCACGCGTATCTTGCGTTCCTTTGGAGGGTAGGTTGTGCACATCCAGGAATGAATGCTCATCTCCTTACAGCACACATACAGCTCACATCCCCCACTTACAAGGCTGTCCTTTCATCACTTCCCAGGAAACTCAACAAACGTAACCTATTGGCCTCAGGTGAAGATACCAACGATGGTCGTTCAGTCTTGACCTCTGGTAGTCCTAACGACCATAACGACTGTCGTTACAGCAACCAGGAACACTAACGAACCAGCGGTATCGATGACCCTGGCAAACAACCCCACTGAGGTTAAATAGCTAAGTTTCTCTGCCAGTCAGTCAGAACTGAAGAAGTCCTTTGGATGAGGGACGAAACGTCTTCCAGTATCTTCAACCAAGTCCAGTTGCCCTTGACTTTAACCTTTGTTGGATTACCATATTAAGTAGTTCAGTCATACATGTTTTCTTTTGTAATGTGATATAGTGAGTTCACACTTTTCTGTGCGTGGATGAGGTTCTTGAGCTGCTTCTTCCCCTGTCGTGGCATTCTCATACTCGTAGGCTGTTGATCATGTGGAGAACCAAGCTGTGCTTTTTCATGTTTTGAAGGGCAGAATGCCAGACCTGACCCCAGGCCTGTGGCATTACCCAAAATGGCAGCTCTCAGTTTGACTGCCTCTTATGGTGTGTGTTTCTGCACGTGCTTGTGTTAGTAGTGTAGAAGTGTATATTATCATGTCTAATACTTGTAGTTTTCAGACACTTGAAAAATATGAATGTGTTGGTGAAATTGAATTGTTACATTTAACTTTCAGTTCTCTCTATATTTAAAAAAGCAAGATCTTGATATAAGATGCAACAATCGGGCAAATGTTTGTACCATAATCATGGAGCATGATCACATGAAAATGGTAGAGTAATTAAGCTATAACGTTTGTGGTAACTGTTGTTCTAATGCTTTTTATGTGTGTGCCTTTTTTTTTGCTTTCCTTCTACTTAAGGTTGAAATAGAGTATTATCATGTGGAATATTAAATGCTTTCACTTGTGAGGGAAGTGTAATATAGCGTGGCTTTATCTTCATTAGTCTGTATACAGGACAGATGGTAAATGGGGAAAATGGTAATAATGCGACAAAGATGGTAAACCAAATGGGCACAGAGGGAGTTTATGTCCTTTACATAAGGATTCCCCTGCAGTGTATCTTTTATCTTCTTGTCAACATCTAGCATATGAATGCCTTTCAATGTTAGTGAAGTTGATCTTACTGAGTCATTGTTACACTTGATTTCAATTGCTTTTTTTCTTTCCCCACAGAGCCACCATAGAGGAAGTGGAGGGGGATGTGTGTGAATTGGAATCCAAGCTCGACAAAGTGAGTACCACCCTTGAAAAACATTGCTTAATTGTTCAGTTGTTCTACTGTGTGAACTAGCAAGCTACAGAGGCCATCCTGTTAAGTGGAAAGTTGCAGGTTTGTCTCTGGCCCCAGTATATCCCCTGGCAGATTGCCTTTGAGTAAGACTAATATAGACACCATGCTTGCACTAAAACATGTGGGGGTGTTTCAAAAGTGCATGACACCCTTTACACTGTACTATAATTGGACAATTTACTTCTACAATTCCTAAAAATAATGGCTGACCCCAGTGTTTCAGATGCTCCAGTGATTCTATTTGTTGCCAACACAGTGGGAAATTAAAACCAACTGCCAGCCAAATGGCGGCAAATAGCCTGTAATCATCTTTTATTCTAACAATCACATTATTTTAAATCAAAATCATAAAAAGGTGGCCTTTTTTGGGGGGGGGGGGGGTATAAAAAAGATTTAGTTTGCAGGTAGTATTATAGTAATATCAGGAACATGAACTGTTATGCTGTCTTTATGAGTGGTGAAAAACAAAGCAATTTTAATTGACTTTAGCCTGGCTTGTAGCTGTTAACTAACTAGCTAACAGTCTGGACCAACTCTGCTGTGAAGAGTAGAAGACGACACAGTAAGCAGTGGCAAACACAACACACAGCCTTTTAGAAACTATTATACTGCAATCTGAGTTTATCTACGTACTTTATCTCTTTCTAAAGTAACATAACTACCCCTCACATACTGGGAAAGAGTCCCTTACACAAACAAACCCGCTGGACTTCGTCAGACACACAGGTTAGCCACAAAGCCACCTTCCTGAAAGAGGGAGCCTCGGCCGGTAACACACAGATGCAGTTAGGCTGTGGGTGTATTAAGGTCCATTACTTAAGCAAAAGTACTAATACCAGCTCCAATTTGAAAATATTCCACTACAAGTAAAGGTTGTGTATTCTGAACTGTACTAAGGTAAAAGTATACAAGATTGATGGCAAGATTTGCTTGTGCAGTAAAATGGTCCCTGACACCGTTTTACATGTATGTAAAACATCATGAGATGTTTTATAAACATCATATGATGTTAATGGATTAATATTACTCCTGCATTAATGTGTATGTTGCAGTTTACTGCTGTGGGTGTTTATGGTTGAGCTAAGCCTGGGCACAATAATGATAATTATCGCAATATAATTTTCCTCAATAACAATATAACAAATGTTCAATAAATGTTTGATTTAATTCATTTGAATCACAAACTAGTTAGCACTTAATTTTTCTATTAAGATATATATTTTGTTGAGGAAAAGGGGCTGAGAAAAGATTTTATCCTAATTGTATTGAATGTTCTGCCTCAGATTTGTTTCGTGATTAACTGTTTGGCATGAAGTGTGACCATAAAGAATAGCTTAAAACCATCTAAAGACATAATGATTGGACATTTATCGTGATAATTATCGATATCGTGATGACCATAGGCGGAGGTAGTGTGGGTGCATGGGGGCGGCCGACCCAGGGCCCCGGCTTGTTGGGGGCCCCCTAAGTGGACCATGAAGTTAGTTCAGTTAATTGTTATGGACACAAACAAACAGCGTTATATGTCGCTGCCCTGCACTGGGAGAATCATCTTATCAAATGAAACCGTACCTTCACTCGTGGTTTCAATGGTAAACCACCATAAGAATTACCAACCAAGAATTTGGACAACTACCAAAAAAACCACACTAGATTCTAAGGAGACACGTTTTAATAAACATAAATCGTAAATTATCATTTGTATTTCAAACAAATGGCAAACTTATTATCACATTTTAACAAAACTCCGTTCACCCTCAAGCATCATGGGAATTCTGAGGGAGGGACGTGTGTGACTTGTTTTTAATTGTCCTTTTTGTGCTCCTACTACATTCTTCAAAGCTCTCTGGCTCGCTTTCGTTCCTCGTATTGACCGGTGCATCTAGCAACTACCACAGGGAGCATTTCAGAATAAGAGCGTTTTACCTGCCGGATTTTGCCGACATGTTTAGATTTTGTTGATTTGGTGATTAGTGCTTGCTTTTTGTGCTTCTACTATGATTAAGAAGGCTACGTAGTAAAATTCTTTAATTTTTTTGTCTAATTTAACAGTGTTTATTGTTGATATACAATCGGAAGTCTGTAACGGGTATTTTATTTTGAAGATTAACCGAATTCTCTGCCGTTTCTGTTGTCTGACTTCCTGCCCGGTTCATCTGCGCTGTGCTGCTTGACGCTGTGACGCTTCTTCGCACTGCAGTGCTTCTGGTGTAAGCACAAATATTTAGTAGAATGGCTGCTCCGGCAGCAGAGAAGCAGACAGACTATGTTGACTTTTGGAGTGAGTATAGGGTCATGTAAACTTGGTTAATATGACTGTAGCAGGTGGGCCCACAATGAAGCTTCGCCCCCACTGCGCTGAGAGTCTAGCTCCGCCCCCAGTGAGAACATTTCTGTCCATATCGCCCAGCCCTAGTTTGTGCTAATTTTAACTACTTTATACATTATTGAGTAGTTGTAATCTACAGCAATGCATCATCTTCTAAAAGATCATCATGTTTGCACTATGTGAGAATGCACGGAATGTTATTTTAGACAAAATGTGGATATCGAGGTGTCGCCTAAAAATATTTCTTATAGGCCATATCACCCAGCCCTAGACTAAACTAATAAACCACCCAAACAAGCTAGTTTTAATCAGTAGTTCTGCCTGAGAACAAACCAAACCCAGAGCTCAGAGTATGTTCACTAGCGAGCTTGGAAGATCCCAGTTCATTGTTCCTGGACTTACAGTCTTACAGAGTCCCACCCTCCTCCCCCTTACCCCACCTCTGTGACTCAGCCCCGGCCCCACTTCCCCTCTTGCTCTGCAGAGGAAGGATCTGCTGGAGAGTGGGTGTGTTCGTGTGCGTGAATATGGCTGTGATTGGGTGCATGTGTATCTGAGTGTGTACTTGTTGATGGGTGGAGTCGATAAACAAGGGGCTAAAGAGATCTTTTTCTTGGGGCTTCCTATCTGCCTGGGATGTAAACAGCCATGTTGTCAAAAGTGAACACACTTTTAACCGTGCCATTTTTTAAACCTGCTCTGCATGAGCTATAGCAAACTATAAATACACGTGCCAGTTTATTAGGTACACCTAGCTAAATTTATGCAGTCTAATACAACGGTCTTGCAACAAAACCTACCTTCCTGAAGGTTTTAATGTTCAGTTTTTAGACATGTGATGCAGTTGTGGAGATGTTGATCTGTATTGCATTATACTGGGAGTTGTTTCTGTCATTTAGCCCTCATGGATATAAATGCTGAGAAGAGCATAGCCACATTGAAGAAAGGCAGGGGTAATTGAGTAAATAAATACTTAGTTAATTCAATTAAGATTGTCTTCCAACCACCATGGACTTAATCCAAAAATATTATATTTTTTTTTACTGTATATGACAGTTTGTTATCACAGGTGAGACAGAAAAAACAAAATAGCTTATTCAAAAGAGATCACAGAGGAAGTATAGACTATAATGGTGGTTAGTGTGCATGTGTGACAAATACAAGCACCTAATGGGTCTATTTTAAAGTTACCTTTTACCTTCTGACCTTTGCAGCTTAGACAGTTACATGTTTGGAGCTAAATTAATTTGGTTTTAAAATATGAAAGTTCAATACATTGTGTGTAGAGTAGTTTAATATATGACTTTTGTTATTGTATTATTTAACTGTTGATCACTTACTAATCTGTTTAGGAAATATCTTAAAATTAGCATTTTTAGGTGATATATTTAGCTGTTTTGCCTGCAGAGGCACATTCAGGCTGTGTGTCATCTTCTGCGTGGGACTGGATGGAAAATGGCCAGCGTTTGTTGTGAGTTTACATAACCTGGAATTATCTTTGCTCCCAAATGAGTCAGAAGGGGAAGAACTGCCTCTTGTTAATTAAGCATATTGCTTTTCTGTTTTATCCTCTGTAGCACCAAGTTTTACCAAATCTTCCGAATCATTTTCAGCAGCAAACTTCAAGTGTTTTTAATAAGAGAGGATGCCCTGAAGAAATGACCGGCACTATTTCTTGTTTCTCTTCGCTCTAGTGTTATTATCTTCTGTCTGCTTAAATTATTTCCCCAATAACCATTTGCCTCTTTCTCTTTCTAGTTGGTGAAGTTGTGTATTGGGATGATTGATGCTGGAAAAGCCTACAACGCAGCCAACAAGCAGTTTGTTAATGGAATCCGGGAGCTAGCCCAGCAGTCCACCAAAGATGAGGTCATCGAGGTAAACAAAAACACAACCTGGCTTGATCTGAGTCATAGAAAGTCCCCAGCATTTGAACTATTAGAATGTGTTTTTGTTTTTTTTCATGTATGGGGGCAGGCTTCCTTTTGGATCTTTTTTAAAATTGTGAAATATTTAACATCAAATAAAGTTGTTAGCTAATAGTATTTATAATATACTATAAACACACATTAACTTCTTGTCTTTTTTGAGTGAAGTGTTTTCATCCTTAATGACATTACCAGATTAAATCTTAATTTTAAAAAAACAAGGCCTTGTACCTAGACCTTGTAGTGTCCGCTGGGTCTTGCCGAGGTCACATGCTTAGTTTTGTTTTGTTTTGTCTTCTCATATGAATTTTGCATGGAGAGGCAAGCACTTCCTGCCAGCCTTTGTGTATTCCACTCAGTGCCTTTCCCTTGGGTTTGAAGCCACTGCATGTATTTGGAGGGAGTAACGCCAAAAGAATTCTTTACCAAAGTGCTATTGTGTCTCCAGAAACACAGACACCGTTTCTGTATAGCCATATCTGTCTGACTGAAGAGTTTTGTGTCTTTCCAGACATGTCTGTGATGTAGCATATAATTGAAATTTGGATTTTGTTTTTATTGTTGTAAGAATGGCGACATTCTTTCTCTGCCTGCCTTCATGGCTGTCGTTCTTTTGTCTTAACAGTCCAGTCTCACAAAGTTTGCTGAGAGTCTGCAGGAGATGATCAACTATCACACGGTATGTATCACTGCCATGTGAAACCGGATGTATTGTGATTCTTTTGGGGTTTTTTTTTTTTTTTTCCTTTACAGCTGGGAGATGATAAAATTCAGCTGGGCTGAGAGTCTGAACCCACTCTTTAACTGTCAGAGTTCTTATTTACTGCTGGGAAGGACAGCAGCAGACCACAAGACAGAGGAAATGGGTCTGTAAGAGGATGGCCACTGGTTTGAAAAATGGAAGCGGAGTGTCAGGGTTCCCTATAGCAAGACCTTAACCTTAACTAACTGTTTAACTGGGGCTATTCAGAAGTAGAAGGATGTGGCTATAATAAGTAGTGTCCAGGTGGGATTTCATATTACTGTAAATATGTGAAGCAGGGTGTTGCTGCAAACACTGCCCTTCATAAAAATTGAGTATATAGAAATCCTTTGGGTCAGATGCATCAAAAACAATCATTGCTTAAACGTAGCTTTTGGATTTTCTTGTCACAAAACCCTCCTCACAAAAGTTACATCTGCCCCATAGTATTGACAGAGGATTTTCCTGCCTCATAAAATCTATTCCCTGCTTAGCATGTAGTGGAGTGTTTAACTGTTGGAATAAATCATCCGTTACTGAAGTAAACGTGGTCATGGCCAACGTTTTACGATGTGGTTGTCATCCTGGAGACAGCTGAACTACAAGAAGAACCATTCTAGGCTTCAGTCAGACTAAGATAGGTATTGTGTTGGCCTTACAGCTTGGTCATCTAATGCACTTCACTTCCAACCACTAGATCTCAGACAATAAATAAACATGTCGCCTTATCCATTGTTGTATCCTATCTAGTCCCCCACAAAACTCTCCAAGGAGCCCATTAGGCTAGATCTGATTATGTGGCTGTTCTTACCCAGTGTCCTCTTGTTAGCCTTCTCCGTTGTCAGTCTCTAGTAGGACTGACACTAACATTGAGAAATGGAGACGTGCCTTTCTCTGATTAGCTTCTCATTAGGAATCCCTCAAACACAGAAAGGATGCACAGGGTGAGCTAGAGGCTTTTTTACAGTGGAAGTTCTCTTCTTGATCTCCCATGTCATGTCTTGTTTCTGTTGGCTTTGCGTAACGTGTTCAGAGTGAGTTACAAGCCAACACCACGCTGCCTCTGAGACATGTTAGAACAAACCGGGGGTGCTGCTACTGGAAATTTAAGATTTTGTAATGTTTGTGGTTGTGGATGAATTTAACAGTTGTAACAAATAACATTATTGAAGTGTCCCAGAATGCGCAACACTGGTTAATATTACAGTTATTATTATTATTAATTACACTTGTGTTTTGTCTGCTTTGATATGTTAAAAAGACCTAACCACCAATACCACTGTTAGGAAAGCAAGAGAATGGTATTTTTTATTTTATTTTAGATTTATTTAATTCAGTTCAGCGTGTTTTATTGGCTTGAATGTTTTATTTAAACAACATTGCCAAAGCAGTTTGCAACCAAATCCAAAAGTTTACATTTAAATATGACACAACAAGATTAACCCAATCAAGAACGTTCAATTTAGCAGTTACAAATTACAAAAACAAAACATTGGACAAACAAAGCAATTTGCAACTTTTTAAAATCGTTTTATTTATTTTTTTAAGTTTCTGACAATTTATAGAACAAACAATTCATTGATGAATTTAAAAAAAAACCCATTAAATTGTAGTATCGTAATTATCTATGGTGATATTACAGCTGAAGGTAGCATTAAACCTTTTCTTTGGGGTGAAGTGAAAAATCAGTACTTTTAAATGAGGACTGAATCTCGTTTCTGTTTACAATCATAACATGCGTTTCATTTCAGTATGAGGTTTTGGCTAGTTTTGTTCACGTTTGGTTGAACTGGGTTCTGTAGCCTTTACACTCACAGATTAAGAGAGATCCTGTAAATGTGTTCTAAACTATTATCCCAAAAAGCTGCAGGGTGGGCGTCTACCATCATTCAGCAGTGGAGTCCTCTTAATAGGTTCCTTGACTACACCCCTAAAAAGCCTCCAGGAACCACAGTGCAGCCCTGCGACTGTGACTCAACATCACCGACTGTGGTCACGTCAGCTGACTGTCAGATAGGTTTTTGCCACTCAGCGATCTCTGAGCACATGATCCACTCAAACACAGTGCTCAATCTGTTCGTCACTGGTAGCCTCTCCCAGCCACACTGCTCAGATTGTCTGATCTGGCCATGAAATCACACTGAAGCCCGGTTTAGTGAATGTGTTTGTCTGGCCTTTTCCTTGGTAGCTCATTTTAAGGAAGCAAGCAGGTTAATAAGGGTATGAGTCACTACCAAGAATAAGCAAATCACGTCACTTCTCGTGTTTGTCTTTATGAGGGGAGTTTACAAAGTGAGCTTGTTTGTGTAAATGTAGCTGCTTAATTGCACCCTGTGATGTTAACAAAAATCCTCCTAAACAGAGGTGCTGAATGCTGACTTGCAAAACATCCCGTGGCCTAGAAAGTGAAAACATTTACTGTCTTTTTGCTGTTCCCGTAGAGAAGTGACTTAGAGATGTTTAATTTAACTAGAGATAAGATGTTTTTCCAAACAGAAATGAGAATTTAGTCTTTCTTTCTTTCTTCACAGATATTATTTGATCAGGCCCAGAGATCTATCAAGACCCAGCTTCAAACATTTGTCAAAGAGTGAGTATTAATTGAACCAAGACGGATAAAAATGGTCATATCTCTGAGCAATCTGAGCTTCTAAAGAATGGCCTAAATTTGCTTTTTGTGTCTCTGTGAGAACAAGCCACAGCACATGTACATTTTACTCATGCTTGTATCCAGATCAACTTAAAATGAGGAACACACATCTCTGAGGGGAACTTAATAAACTTGTACTTTGTGTTGAAAGAAAAGTGTCTTGGATTTTGTAAACAAAGCCCACACTTGAAAGAGGACACTCAATTATATTGATGTGTGTATATATAATATTTTCTAATTGAATCAAGCCCTCATATCTCCCTTTTTAAAGCCTCCTAATACAGCACTGAATTCCAGACGGCTTGTGTAAGTGCAGGAAACAGTGGGGCCTTCTGGTTTATTCATTATAAGGATTAGCAGCTTTTGCCCCTGGCATACCAGGGCTAAACTCCCACATTGGCAACCCCCATACTTCTCACATGTTCCATCATATTTACTCACTACCTTGTAGCACTCAAATATTAACCTCACTTACTGTAGGCAAAATACACCGAAGAACAAGTGCCAAGATTTATTAAATCAACTTTAACCTTTGTGTGTTCCTGTTGACTGACCATGGTTGTGTTGCTTCATATCCAGCGATAACTTTGCTTCCTTCCACATGATTGTTGACAATAAAGGGACATGTCTTATTTGACCTTGGTCATGGAGTTTGGAAGCTTTAGCACTGAATTGTGGGATAATTCTACTGCTTTATTGGTGGCACCATCTAAGGGTATTTTTTCGACCAGCTAATATAACTAATAGCTAATAAATTAGTAAACTTTTCCTAAACTTGATTTCCCCATTTACACTCCCACATACTAATTAATGCTTGTACAATAATTTAATGTGTTTTGTCTTAGTAAACTTCTCTCCCCTCCCTTCCTTTGTCAGTGACATCCGTAAGTTCAAAGAAGCGAAGAAGCAATTTGACAAAGTGAGTGAAGAAAAGGAGGCGGCACTGATCAAGAACGCCCAGGCTCCCCGCAACAAGCAACATGAGGTGGAGGAGGCCACAAACATCCTAACAGCCACGCGCAAGTGCTTCCGACACATCGTCCTCGACTACGTCTTACAGGTACAACAACTCACTTAGGGATGTAAATTGTAAGACCCTTAATGTGTTGCACAGAATCATTGGAGTACTTACAAATTTGAAGTAACGGTTCCATGACAGTGTGTGTGGTTTTTTGTTGGTTTTTTTTTTTCATTCTTGCGCTTAAAGCTGTGTCCTTATTATTACATTAGATGCTGTAATCGTTAGACTCCTTTAAAGCTGAGTCTCGTTTTAGTCCACATTTTGCAGTGCATTTAACAATACATTAGTTCCCTGAATTGACAGTTTCCAACAGGACTATATATGGCAATAGACTGCTGACATGCAAATTTTAAAAGAGAAGCCAAAAAAGAGCTCAGATACACACTGTCATGTACGATATTTCCTTGTGCACCCTAGCCGCTTTGGAAATGGAACTTAATATGGTGAGTCAGGTTGAAAATGCTGATGTGGCACAGAGAAGAATGAACAGCAGCTGTGTTTGATTCTGTTACATCCAAAGTAAAAAACCCAAGCATATCCACCTGTCATGTTTCAGTTTACCACATCAGAGTGGATTTGACTGAAAAAGAGTAGCAGATGCATCAACAGGACACAGGGAGCAGCGGTCGAATTAGTTGTAGCGTTGGCAACAGGACTAGCAGAAGAAGAAGATAATAAGAATCAGATCAGGTTTATTTATAAAGCACATTAAAAAAAACCCAAGGTGCTATACAATAAAATAAGATAACATAATATTGTAACCAATGTAACTATCTAATACTATCCCATATACAAATAAATTCTTAATGAAAAAGATGGGAAAACTTAAAATCACAGAGGAGTAAAAGCGAAACATAAAGAAGCCAGTAGTAGATTTTGATTTGACGTGATAGTACATGGTGGCATACCACATCTATATGCACTTGCATAGATGTATTAATAAACTGTTAGATTGTTGATTGTTCTAGTAAAGGGTTTTTTCCCCCTCACCTGGTGCACACAGCATATTAAAATACACAATCAGATACAATGCTTCTGTCCTCTTATGTTTATAATTAAATCTAATTACCAGTTCATTATCATTTTCATATTTGGCTGATGTCAGGCATCTGTGTTTTTTCCTGCGTTCATTTTACAAGTTATGGTTAATAACAAAATTATTGCGCAATGTTCCAGTGACCAATGAGCCATCATGTCCGATGAAGCACTGCAATGGAGAAATTATTCATATTTTTAGGTAAGATCATTTGAGAACAAACAGAAGAGGAAGAAAGCAGCAGGAGGAGAAAGCACACAAGAAAACTATGGATTTTTATTTTTTTTATTTATTGTTAAAATCTGCCTCTCTGTTTGAACAGTACTTGAAGAATGTGACACCATTATATCCAGCATTTGAAGAAAAAGTCCTAGTATTAAAATGAGTCAGTCAGTTTACAATTTCATTAATGAAATGACACTCTGTTGCCTTTCAGAAGTTGAATCATCTGTGCAGTAGGAGATCAAGCACCGCGTATCTCCTTTTGTGCAAACATGTTCTTTTTCGTACTTAAACGTGTCAATCTGTTTAACCTTTTTTCTGTCAAAGCCACACAGATGTCTTGTACTTTGACCTTTCATTTTAAAAGCTGCTCATGTATCATTGAATAAGTCAGCTGAGCCCTTGGTGTTTTCTCTTGGCCACAGTAACACTGATGAATGCTTCATGTTTTCTGATAAGGCAGCTGCCCGCCCTGTTATTGAATCTCACTCCAAAAGAACTGACAGTGTTGAATGGGCACAGATTGCTCCAAAATTAGATTTTGTGAAGAAAACCCAGAAGCAGGTTTTAAAATAGGTTTGGCAGTCTGCTCTAGTGGCCTGCTGCATAATCATTCTGTTATAAAATGAAGCCTGACTGTGAGAAATTAGTTGAGTTTTTATCTTGCCTGTTAGTCTGCTTATAGGAAATCTATAAGCTCAGCAGCTAGCACAGCTGATTTAAATGGATCTCCTTTAAAGTTTTACGTTTGGGTATTGCTGTCAGCACTTTCAAAGTGCTGCTAACTTTTGCAGCTGTGCTTGCAGGAAACATTTGAGACAGATTTCAACTTTATTTTTTGGTTCTTTTAGATTGTTTTTGTGGCATTTTTACTTAATTATACTGTGCACAGTTTTCAGTGACATGCAAGATGATAGAGGGAGAGAGAAATATATGAGAGGGTTGTAAGCCAGACTTGCATTCATGACATTTAAAGAATGGAGCATTCTCTTTTACCGTGCTGTGCCACGTAGAGCTGGATCATAATATAGTGAACTTTAAACTTCGGGTTTGCTTTATTGACTGTTGGTCCAGCCTAGAAAAAACAACGTGCAAATCTAGTAAGATGATTACTAGTAAACACAGCTGTCTGACTTCATCCTGACCGATATGTTATCACCACTGACATACAAACCAATGCCTAAAATTTAAATACACACATACAACAGAAAAGCAGAAGCAGAGTTAACACTTAGTAGATATAAATGGGAGCTGTATGTCTGCAAAACATAACAAATATACCACGTTTACCACGTCTGAATAGTGACTAATTTAAGCCTAAATCTTGCTTAAACTTTCTGTCCTAAACCGTCCTAAAAGTGTGGAATTACCACAGCCTACCAACAAATTAACTACCAAATGCTCACACATTGTGCTTGTGGTGGTTGTGTTTGTACTTTGCCAGTTAAACAACCATCGTTTAGAGGTGCTACTCCTTTCAAAACTAATAATTGCCTGTGATCGGAGAAGGGTGGGGTGGGGGGCTTGTGAAAGTTGTGAGGCACCAGCCGCTGTGGTTAGGAGATGGAAAAATAAGCTTCCTTTCCTGGGTGGGAGTTACATCTGTGTATAAACGCTAGTGTGGGTTAGTGTTGCCAAGGAAAAGAGGCCTTGGAAAAAGATTGCTGGCCGCAACAATGATTTGAACTTTTATTCTTCAGTGCATTGAAATGTGGTGTCTGTGCTTTCATGACCACACAAACAAAACCACTGGATCCAGGTTAATCCATAAGCATGAGGCAGAGTGTTAAAATTAATACAGTCACAGGGGCATCACTCATTCCCGTCATCACCGTGAAGCCAGCTAGCATCACCGTCTGGATTTACTGTACAACCTGCCTCTCTACGCTGAAACACTAATATAACCTCTCAGCCAGAGACAGTGTTAATGAGCCGAAGATGCACACAAGCAAGGAGAGAGTGAGACAGGAGGTTACAATGAATGCAGCAGGACAATGTAGATGATAGGGGAGACAGGCTACAGCAGCATCCTCAGGTTAAATATGAGACGTGGAGCTCCTCCTGGTGCCGGTACTAGGAACTACCGTCCAGTAATGCTTAGGGTGATTTTTCTACTTCAGTTAGACTAATTTCACGCTGTCTTCTTTCTTTCATTTGCCTTTTTCTTAAGACGTTCTTTTTTTTGTTTCATCTCCAACATCTTATCCCATTTCCCCTTCTGTCTTATGTTCTTTCTGTCTTTTTCTACCCTGCTGCCGCTTTCTTTCTGTCTGTGCAATTTTCTCTCACATACTGTCACTGTAGATTTTGTTTTGTAGTTTGTTGATTGCTGCTTGTATGTGTTGAGTTTTCCTATTGATTTTCATATTCAGTATTCTTTAAAACAATGATTAAAAAAACTTTCCTACTTCTCATTGATTTGTTTTTGTTCATTACAGATCATGTGCTACAGTCCAAGAGAAGATCCGAAATCCTGAAATCAGTAAGTGTACTTACACTTCAATAATCTATGCAGCTGCCTGATTGGCCCTCTGAATATTCACTGTCTCCTCCACAGATGTTGTCCTTCATGTACGCCCACCTGACATTCTTCCCCAAGGATATGACCTCTTCAGTGAACTACAACCTCTAATGAAACTGCTTGGAGGACAGTACATGCTATAGTATACACACATGTGGACACACACACTCACACATGCAGCCTGTATTTATACTTGTGCACTGGTCTGCAGTTACACTGCCAAAACGCTAGTTGGCAGTGAGGTTTCCATGTTCCACTTAGTAGAGTGTATTTTTCTTCGTTGGTGAATGCCGTTAGTGTCACTCTCTCTTTCACTGTGATAAGATACCACAACTCTATGTAATTAACAGTCCTGTAAAATTGACAGTCATTATTACTTCATAAGGGCTATGTCATTGTTTATCAACTATAATGTGATTTAAATCCATTTTTTTCTTGTCAGTATTACTTACTAGTCAACATTGTTACTTATGGAAGAATGTCATTTTATTACATTACCCGAAGTATGTTCAGGTTCATAGTTTATTACATGTTTGAATTATTCAGAGAGAAATGTTTAATCATC